GCAAGATTAACGAAGAATGCTAATTTCTAGGAGGGAAGCTCATTCTGATTATCTTCACTTTTGTTTTAGAAAGAGAGCTTTTTTTCCATGCAATACAATAATGCCTATAAGTAAAAAAGAGAGCAGTAATATGCAGAAAGTGATATCCTTTAAAAATGACTTTGAATGTCTTCCAGATGCCCCTGCCAACATAATTCTGGATCAAAATGACCCTATCGTTAACAATAGGAAATTTCACAAAAAGATGCCCTGGAGCAAATAGGTATTTCCACCAGTAAGTCTGATATTTTGATCTTTCCTGCATCAAGTGCTCCACTTCTGGCACATCGCCCTTCTCTAAGGAGCTAGGCATGGGAAAAAGGAGGACTCCTATAGGAGGAACAAGATGTCGTGTATAGGATGCAGATCATGAGCATGTGCTTCATCCATACTGCATCCAGGTGAAACATCTGGCATAATAAATGTCCTGCTGTGCTAGTGAGTAGCTCTCCTCTCTTACCTAGAGGTGTTAGCACAGACACGCATGAAACCCAAATTTAGAGTTAATGTAATTTAGTGCTATCAAGGAGCAGTTTGCTGTATCGGTCTGACTTCGGATGGACGAAGTGTGCAGAGATCTAAGTGTCTGTCACCTCTAACAAGTGTGTTGCTGCTTGGCCCTGCCAGCACTTGTGACATCCTAGATTTTCAGAGGTCCTCTTTGGGGACCAAGTCCTACAAAGTAAGAGCCAAGCGGCGTGGGCTGAATTACCTTGCTGCTGGTGCAGGTTTTGGGAAACTGGCCTGGCCATGTCCGCACGTGGTAGGATAGTCCTAGAAAAGTGGGAATCCACTGGGGAGGCGAGGTGGTGCACAGGCTGGGCGCTTTGCAGCATTGCTGCTTTGCTTTATGTTGTTTCATTAAGACTTGTTGTACTTGCTAATAATTGCAGTGTAGGTTATTAATGATGGAAGTTTTCGAAAATTAATTTATTTCTCATTTTTCTCTGTTTGAGCAGTGGATATAGATTAGGGATGTTGCTGAATCAATTTGGGAGCTATTTATTCTCTCCATTTACTAACTGCTCTGAAAATCTTCTTTTCACCTTAAATGTTCTTTTATTATATATTGATCTCCTGTGTGTAGTTAAAAATAACAAAATTGAGTAGCTCATAATCAGGTTCCAGTTGACTTTTCCCTTCAGGGCCTCACGTTTTACAATTTTTTTTCCAAATATGATAACATACAGATGCATGAGAAGGCATAGTTCTTGCTCCTGAGAAATGCTATTGACTCAAACCTGCAAATGCTGAACTTCTGAGAGACAAAACGCAAGAAAATTCAGTGGTGATTGGTGCATGGCCTGCTTGTTCCATACATATCTGATTGCTGGATTAAAGATGAATTTGGCTCCAGGAAAGCAGGATCTGTAGGAGTGACTTCTGTCCCATGCTGCAGACTCTGTGCTGGGACATGGTAGGGCCTCTGCTTTTCTTTAAGATCGCTTTAAAATCTCACTCAAACAGAATTGCTTTCGCCTACCACTGTTCTTAGTAACAACCCTGAATAATGAAAATGTTTTTCTTTTCCTGTTCTTATTTATTTATTTACCCTTTATTTATTTGTTTACTTTTTTTTGGCATTTGACAGCAGTTGGTGTCCTCACTGTAGTAGTATTTTTGGGTGTAGTCAGACAGCCAGTTTCTCTGTTGTTTATGTGGTTGCTTCGCACAGCCACAGGAGGGAAAAAACAGACATGTTTAGAAATAGAGAAATGCAATTTTTATTTCATCAAGAAACAAATGGAAGAGAAGTGGAGTTTGGGGCAAGTGTGGTCACCTCACTGTGCCAACTCGGGAAAGAGAGGTGACCCAAGCTGCAAGGCGGCGGCAGCACTTCTGCCCCCTTGATAAAATAACTTCACCTGAGCACGTTACCTGTGCCCACCTGATGATGAAATGCTTGGATCTCTTTCAGGATCAGAGTCACGTGCAGGTTTCTCAGTATCGCCAAGACCACTCGCTGATCATGAGGTCCATCGTGCACATGACGGATGCAGCTCATTCAGGAATGATGCCTCCTGCCCAGCTCACCACCATCAACCAGTCTCAGCTAAGCGCCCAGCTGGGGCTGAACTTGGGAGGCACGGCCTTGCCGCACACCTCTCCCTCCCCTCCAGCAAGCAAATCGGCCACTCCTTCCCCGTCCAGCTCTATCAACGAGGAAGATGCAGATGAATCAAATAGGGTAAGTCATGCCACGTGCTGTTGTAAGTGCTTAAATTATCAACATGTAATGCCTGCCATAGAGGTGTTTCTTCAGCTACGGTATCTTCTTGCTGCCGTAATGTCCACTTAGCCCAATAAAAGTGGGACAACCCGCGCAGCCCCCTCCCCACACGAGGAGTGGAGGACCTGGCTGGTTGCCACAGCAGGTGTCCACTGCAGAATGAAGCTGAGAACTGATCCTGATTTTTGCCTGGAGGGTAGGGTGGTTTTCACCCGTGCCCCATGTCTGACAGTCTAAGACTGGGAATAAGGAAATGCCTCCAAGCTCCTTTGAGTCTCTGTTGCTGGAATTACATCTTTATGGGAAAACACAGGTTGCCAGTTCAAAACATACTGTGGATTAGATCTTAAATTTTGTAGAAACAAGTAGTGGCGGGAGTAGCGTAACCTTTTTCAGGTTAAGCTTACAGGCTCTGAGCCTTGACTCTCTGAGTCTTGCTCACAATGAGGAGCAATTATTTATGCTTTTAGTTGCAGTAGAGCTGATGAGATTAAGTTGACAGTAAATCCTATTTGGTAGGAGTAAGGCTGGCACAACAGGACTCTCCAAAATGTTGCCTGCACGCTAATTTTATCCATTTATTATTAAACCAAACTGTCCGGAACCATTCAGAACTCTTCTGACTTATACTTCAGGCATATATAGACTGTGCTTTTGTTCCTCTTTCCCAGGCCACTGGAGAAAAAAGAGCTGCCCCAGATTCTGGCAAGAAGCCCAAGACTCCGAAGAAGAAGAAAAAGAAAGATCCCAATGAGCCACAAAAGCCGGTGTCAGCATATGCGCTGTTCTTCAGGGATACCCAGGCTGCAATTAAAGGGCAGAACCCGAATGCCACGTTTGGAGAGGTTTCAAAAATAGTGGCCTCCATGTGGGACAGTTTAGGAGAAGAACAAAAACAGGTAAAAAAATTGATGCAGTGACATCTTGCAAGAAATAACCCGGTAATCCCCCTAACTAATCCTCCTCCTCTCTGAGCGGGCTATGCTGCTTGCTGATGTAGACATCTTACCCTGTAGAGCTACATTGATTTTGAACTTGCTGAAGATTTGCCCTCTAAGATGCATTTTGTTATATGACCCTGTAGGTAGTATTGAATAGTTCTGTTTGTCTTTAAATTTTAAAGGGCAGTTTGTAGAAAGCTTGGGTGATGCTGTGCTAGAGGCCTGTTAAGACCACCTTTTGATGATTCCTATTTCAAAGCCCTTGTTTCCTATTAATTAGCAGCTAGAATAGAAAAGGGGAAGGTACACCCCATTTACCGTTTCCTTTGATCTGCCTTATGAATTTGTTACAAAGCCTGTTGATTTTGAAGCTTTGAAGGCAATGCTGTATGCCTCATTACAACAATACAGCGTGTGAAATGCTGTCTCCAGCTCCAACTCACTGCAGAATGAGGAGTTTTCAAAGATCAGCTCTTCTTCCTTGAGGGTTATTCTTTTTTCTATACACACATAACTCCTACACACGAACTAGAAAAATAATATATTCCTTTGGGGCTATTGGTACTTTTGTGCAGCTCCCATTAATAGTTAATGGAAGCTGCGATGGAAGTCAAGATCCCTGAAAGAACAAGACCTTTCTGGCATGGTGTGAAAAACTCTAGTTTGTGATACACTCCTAGCAGCTCTTAGTCTGATCTTACACGTGATCATAATTTAAGGGTAAACATTAAGTTTTCTAATGATTGAGGATTTATTGGCTTTCTGCCTAACTGTTCTTGTCACGCTCAGTGGTAGTCTCTAGTATTGGCTTTGGGGAAAGTGAATTGTCCGGGCTCTGTAAACCACCTTTTACAGAGATGCAAAGATTTTCTACAAGTAGTTCTAATACTCACTGAAAGCGATTACTGCCTTGGTGTTTTTGCTATTTCAGATCACTTCAGATGCTTTTCAGGGTCTGAGATTCTCCCTGGTACACACAGTCAGCATGACATCTCTTCCTTGGGAGATGAATGGTGCATACATGTTCTTGTAAAACAGTTGGTTGCTCTAGCAGTTTTCTTTACTCATAATAAATCAACAAAAAGTGTGAAAGGGTCCAGCAAGCAGACCTGACAATCTGAGATCACCTGCAAGGATCTTGAGAACTTTCAGGAATTGACACGTGTACCGTTAGAGCATATGGTGTTTTTTATCCTCTGCTTTTTGTTTCTCGTTTTGAGAGCATTCTGGAAAAAAATTCTTTGTAATTAGAGTTCATGAAATTGTGATCTCTCTCAATAGGTGTACAAAAGAAAAACTGAAGCTGCCAAAAAAGAATACCTAAAGGCACTTGCTGCCTATAGAGCAAGCCTTGTTTCCAAGGTAAGCCAAGAGGTGACTTTAGTATAATGCAAGTTAAACATTTGGCAATGGTTTTAAAATATGGGGGTGGGAAAAGGAGTTGTTCTGAAAAACAAAATACATATTCTAGGATTTTTAATATGGTTTTAAAAGATGTGGTACTATTGCTTTAACCATGCTTAGTTTTTGCAAAAAACGTACTTTCACTATATTTAGTATCTCTAATGCCACGGTAATGATTACTAAACAGTAACTACACAAATGTAGTTCTTCTTTCTGAAGAATTATCTTTGGAAGCAAAATTATGTCATTGACTGTAAAGTAGAATTTAGTCATGAAAAATATATTGATTTTATTTATATATATATATAAAATGATTTTACATCATTAACATTTGCCAATTATTTGCAGATTTATTTTCCTCCAAGTGCTGCTTTTTTAAAGAGAGTTGCTTGGGGTTGCTATATGAGAAAACCTAAGTATTTCTTCCAGGTGAGGGAGAGCGTTGTGCTGTGGCCCTGAATTTGGGATATTCTTAAAAATGGACAGGCTGCCAATGAGCCACACTGAGTGTTTTACCAGATTTTAGTTAAAACGCATATGATGAAGACAAGGATGCTAAGTCAAATGGCAGCTGGAATTCTAAATAACTTTGACAGTTTTTTTTTTTTTAATCCTAAATTCCCTTCTCAAAACCATCAGAAGTCACATTTTCTTTCAGAATCCATGGGACTTGGATTGCTGAGTGCCTGGGTTGTATTTGGGAATACTGGGAGTGGAAATATGTTCTAAATCCAGAATTCATCTCCCTTAACTTGAGACATCCTTGTTGTAGCTTTCTCAGCCAAGGTTATTGCTGAGAGCAGGGATGGAAGAGCTGCTTTTAAAGTGTGATTTGACACATTGCAGGGGACTTGCCTAAAGCATGTCAGATAATTGCTCTGGAAGAGACTTTTCCTCTCCACTGTCTCTAAAGGGACTCTGGGCAGCTGTTTGAGATGTAGTGTGTACAGTGTAGGCATGTAAAACTTGGTGAGAGGAATCTCACCGCTGTGCTTAAATATACCTAATTTAAATGTACTCAGTATCTTAAAACACACCTAATATAGCTATGTCTTTAAAGGGATGAGAGTTCCCGATCTCGCAATTCTCTGCTTCCAGTGTGGCCAGGCTGCTTCAGCCGTGTGCATTTGAAAGCCTTCCCTTTAGGCCTGTGTCCACTGGAGGTACTGAGGACTTGATGCCTTGGACGCAAGGAACTACAGCAAACAAACCGTAGAGGTTGCCAGGGAATTTTTGGTATCCGTTCCATGTCCAGAGTGCTAGGGTACTGATCAAGGTGTGGGAAAGGCATCAGTAAACCAGAACAGTGATCTTTCGACTGCTGGTTGGTCTTTTCTGATTAAAAAAGATGAAAAAGTCTCCTTGATTACCTGTGGCTTTTTGTCTGGTATAGGAAGCAACAAGATTGTTCTGCTGAAAAATGCAAGATATCCTAAACTGATCTGAAACACCGAAAGTTCCGCAGGAACTTAAGGAAAAACGTATTAGCAGTGAGGGTGATGGAGCACGGGAACAGGCTGCTCAGAGAGGCTGTGGAGTCTCCGTCTGTGGGGATCTCCAAGGGCTGCCTGGATGCAGCCCTGTGCCACGTGCTCTGGGTGACCCTGCGTGTGCAGGGGTTGGACTAGATGATCCTGGAGGTCCTGTCCAACCTTAAGGATTCTATGATTCTGTGATTGATACTGAGCCAGGGTACTTGTCTTTCTGAATATCTTAAGTGCCATCAGCTAGATTTTCTGTGGAGTTAAGCATTGAAACAGGAGAAATGAGAAATATGCTTATGAAAGCTTATTTGAGGATGTTCTGCATGTTCTGAAGTGGGACCACTGTAGCAATTGTACAGATTCTTGGGATGAATGTGCAGCCCTCAAGGGCATGCTGAGCTGCTTACATTGAGGCATGGGAGGGCAGGAAGGGATTTTGATAATTTGGAGTCTTGATGTGAGAGGATCTTTGTTTTCTCCAGTATCAGCTCTTGAAATTCTTTTCCAAACACAGGCGGCTGCAGAGTCTGCTGAAGCCCAGACCATTCGTTCCGTCCAGCAAACACTGGCATCCACGAATTTGTCTTCCTCCCTCATTCTGAATACTTCTCTTTCGCAACACCCAGGAGTATCTGCGTCTCCTCAAACTCTTCAGCAGTCCCTTCCCAGGGCGATTGCTCCCAAGCCTTTAACCATGAGACTGCCCATGAATCAGATTGTAGCTTCTGTTACCGTTGCTCCAAACATGCCCACAAACATTGCAGCTCCGTTGATGAGCTCCATGGGCTCAAACATGGTGGCAACACCATCGTCATCTCAAGTAAGTCCCTCCATGCAAAGCCAGCAGCACCAGATGCAGCAACTCCAGCAGCAACAGATGCAGCAGATGCAACAGCAGCAACTCCACCAGCATCAGATGCATCAGCAAATACAGCAACAGATGCAACAGCAGCATTTCCAGCACCACATGCAGCAGCACTTGCAGCAGCAGCAGCATCTCCAGCAGCAAATGAGTCAGCAGCAGTTGCAGCAGCAGCTGCAGCACATGCAGATGCAGCAGCAGCTGCAGCAGCAGCTGCAGCACATGCAACACCAGTCGCAGCCTTCCCCGCAGCAGCAGCACTCTCCGGTGGCCTCGCAGCTCACCTCTCCCATCCCGGCCCTGGGGAGCCCGCAGCCAGCACCTCAGCAGCACCAGGCACAAATACAGCCTCAGGCACAGACTCAAGTATTATCCCAGGTCAGTATTTTCTGAAGATAAATGATCCTGCGACGTCGCTGTGCGTTTATCGAGGGGCTTAGGGGTAAACCATATTTGGCTGGAAACTGTAAATTGTTGATGGTTGTTATGCAGGGATGCATAACAGATCAAATGATCCTCTAAAGTGTCTATTAGATAGGCAATAAAGAACTACAATGTAGCTGTGTATCATCTTTTAGCTGACTATAAATCATCTTGTTTTCTTTTTTTTTTTAAAAAAAAAAACTGTGCTCTTTTTCATGTGATGCCTTTTTAATTTATTTAAGCTTTACCTACAATATGTGAATCAAATGGCCTAATAAATACCTGGACCTTATGACTGCAAAATGGTCTTACAGAGTTATATAATATAACAATTGTTTCTCTAAAAGTGAATAATGCACTTCAAGGCAGTAGGAACTCATGAAGCCCTTAAAGCACAGTTGTAACTACCTGTAAAATGGTGATTGGATTTCATACAATCATACTTGTATGACATGAGTTAGTTGATGGCATTTTTTGTCATGAAAAAATAGAATAAGTCACAGATTTTTGCCAAAGCTCTTAATTTTTTCTTTCTTAAATGTTTTCAGAAAAACAAATGCAAATCACTAAACCTAAATGTTGGACCCATCCTTTCACTTTGTTTCTCCAAATAAACCCACCATGAAAAAATATATATTAACGGTTACCCTATGACATTAATTCCGATTACAGAACAAATGTGAATATTATATTCTGTGTCGAAGTGATGAGTTTCAGATTTAATACACTGTATTTTTAAAAGGGAAATGCACTTAAATAAAACTGTTATTAGGAAAAAAAGCTAAGATTAAAAAAAAAATGCAAGAGTTTTTAATACGCTGTAAAACCAGTAGAATATTTAAAAGAAACTCCACGACCGAATAATCAATGTAAATATTTTCTTTAAAAGTTGTAAGTTTTCATATCATGTGTTGTAAAGTTTTCATAAATGAGGCTTTAATGTAAACACTGGTAACATGAATTATTAATTGCTACATTGCTTATTGTGTTTTTATGCTGTTTTATACTTTTTTATGAGTTATGATAGCAGCAATTAAGTTGTTTGTATTTTGCCTATCTAAAATAAATGCTTTTATCTTGCTATAGAATAAACACATTTCAGTAAAACCTGTGGGCCAGAAGTGTTTGATGGAGAGAAAAAGAAAAAAAAAAACATGAATAGAAGTGCTTGTTCCTCAGAATGCCGTCTGGGGAAGTTTATTTAACTTTCTGGATTTGTGTTTTGCCGAACACGCCGGGTAGGTGGGTACCGAGGTGCGCAAGGCTCCGTAAGTGCTCACGGCCACGGAGCTGCATGCGACTTCTCCAAGGTTTTCCTGGAAGGCCGCAGAGAGCGAAGGCAGGTGGGAGAGCTCTCCAACATTCACCTCGGCCACGTTACAGGTATTGGGACGAATGGGACCACGAGCAGGTGCATTCGGAGATGGCACTGAGTGTGAAATGCGGCTTCCTGCATGTGTCTCGGCATTTCCCTTCCAAATGCAGCCAGTGCCCAACCTCAGCAGGGCAGCACGTGGGAGATAGGGATGGGTGGGGAAGGATCTTGGATGGCAGGTTTAGAAACAGCCACGTTGTTGGGATATTAGTGCTGTTTGTACGTTCTCACTCTTAACAGGGAGGAGAAATCCTTTATTTCCTCCTTTGCAGGCAGTAGCCGTGCCGTGAGTGCTGTCTGACCACTATCCCCAGTTGTCTTGCATGATTAATTACAGCATCTGTCCTGTCAGAAGCTATAATGAAGAGGTCTTGATAAAAATTGCAAATTACCACTGGCAACAATCTTAAACTGCTTATGATAAAATGAAAATTAAAAACAGCAAGCGTCAAGCCTGAGCAGAATCCTAATCCTGTTTGTGGTGGTGTCCACGGTTACCACACTCGGGACCCCTCCAAAAACCGGGGATCTGTGGAGTCCCCTGAAGTTGCAGCTGAGCTGGGGAAGAGGAACTGTACGGTGTGAGTCATTAATAATGAATCTGCCTTTTAATATTTCATAATCCTTCAGTACGCTGTTTATTATGTACAAATATTGAACAGCAAGAGATGCTAATTATAAATTTATAGATTTCTTGGAGCATGAAAAAGAAAAAAAGTATAAATCGAAGTTTGTTATAATTATTGCTAGTTGACAGCTCCCCATGTTTGTAATAGCCATTGTATCAAATGTATCGAATAGTGCCTGGGACAGCTAGACTTTACTGTAAAGAGGAGGGAGCTTGCGTGCCTTGGAAATGTCATAGCAGAAACTGGTCAGCAAAGATCGTGTGTTTGTGTGTGTGTCAGTTTTAAGCAATGTTACATAACAAAGGGAAACATTTTCTGGCCTTCTTGAAACCTTGAGACAAATGTCTTCAGAAATAATTGCTAAACTGCATGTGACAGTAATTGTGTATTAGTTTGGTAATTGTCATTTTGAAGACCTATGAAGTATCGCTGGAAAAATGTCACTAGTGATAAGAGTTAATTACAACTGAAGTCTGTTTTCAACTATTTGCAGCAAGAAGCAGGTGTTATTACACTCATTAAATGATTTCATAAATCCTGGGTTTTATCATGTTTGATTAAGAGCTGCTGAATTACTGTTGGTCAGTTCCAGGAAAAATAGTTTTAATTACTGGAGTTAAGAAAAGAATTAAAAAAGCGTCAGGCGGGACTGTACATTTTAAATATCAAGAGTAGAGTCATGGCAAAACCAGAGTGTCCCCCTCGTTGATACAAAACCGTGTTTTATGTTACCCACCGTAGCATATTGCAGAGCCTGTTGTGTTTCAAACTACACAAGTTGGCGTTCGTATTCTCTGAGTCTGAGTAAACAACTCTGCCATAGGTCGTACTTAAAACTGTTAATTTAGATCACTTAATATGCCATTTATGTGAAAAAATAGCATCTCTGTGATTTCAGTGTCATCTACCTTTTTAATAACGTTTTGCTTCCGATCATTTACAAGTACTTAACTGCCGCCTGCTTTTCCGAAGGTTTCAGCTGCTTTATCACCCCAGTTAACCACGTTCTCCCTTCGCATTAACCCAGGCTGACACGCGATGAAAGAACATAAGGAGGTTTAATTTTTAGCTGACACAGGGTCATTAGTTCCTCACTTGGAGAACAAAGGCCCTAAATACCTCTATGCAACATAATCTCAATTTTATATTATCACCTGACCATTGTGGGTAGCCGGACAGATGGATTAAATATCTTGAGTTTAACTAGGAGTCCGGCGCTCGCCCTTCTCCGTGGGGAGCGCCTCTTTGAGGGCCTCCTTCTCCACCCCTGCCTTCACGGGGTGTTTTTCGGCGCCGGCCTCGGCTCTAACCTTTCCCTCCCCCCTTTGTTTGGCTTTTGTTTCGCAACAGCTGTTATTATCGTTTTTGGTCAGCTGTGATTGCTGGAGGCAAAATAGGACCAGATGGTGTTTTGCTATGCATGAATGGAGAGTTAGAGGAGCCGAGAGTGAATAGGCCGGCCTGAATGGTGTCTATGCACCACCTGCCCTGCTCAGCGGCCGCGTGCGCAGCCCGCAGGCCGGAGCCGCTCAGGCCTCCTGCGAGGCAGGGCGCTGAGGCAGGGCGCCTGGCCCTCTCCTCTGAGCCCATCTGAGATGGCGCCACGCGTGCGCTGGTGCCGCGGTGCCTCAGTGTGCGTGCCGTGACGGGGCTGAGGCGCGGGCCTGCGCGGCTGGAGCAGCCTTGGTCCCTCATGCATCTTCGGGAGGGAAAATTAAAGTGAATCCTTTTCTAAAAGTCGGTAGCAGCCTCCTTAGTGAAGAACAGTGCTGTGGGGAAAGGACTTGTGGAGGAATCTGCTGTGTAGTGGCAGGGCTTTGGTCCAGGGATGGAGCAAATCCCGCACTTGAGCACGCAGCGCCCCAAAGTTTAAATCAAGCACCCGGACTGGTGTTGGAGAAGCAAAGGTGTCCTCAAATTGGTCATTGAGATGGTGTTCAAGTATCGGGGGAATCTGGAATCTGGCCTCGGGTGTGGCTGCTCCTGGTTTTGTCTGGGGTGTCAGGCAGCCTCCGGAGCTCTTCTGTTATCAGCGCTACATTCAGCAGAAAAAAAATGCTAAATGTTTTCAAGTGCCTGAGACAAAAGTGAGATTTGTATTAAAGGACTTGGTTCTTAAAGTCCCCAGGAAGCTAATGCTTCTCTGGTGCATCCACGCGAGGGAGCGCGTGTATGGTGCTGACTTGCTGGAGGCAGCGAATGCTCTAAGTGAGCTGTTTGGACACCCAAATAAGATGCATGAGAGATTCATTATTATGGGGCCAGGCTCTTCTCTGTGATGGCTGGTGACAGGACAAAGGGTAACGGGTGTAAGTTGAAACACAAGTAGTTCCACCTCCATATGAAGAAGAACTTTACTGTGAGGGTGACAGAGCCCTAGAACAGGCTGCCCAGAGAGGCTGTGGAGTCTCCTTCTCTGGAGATCTTCCAAACCCACCTGAATGCGACACTGTGCCGCATGCTCTAGGTGACCCTGCTGGAGCAGGGGAGTTGGACTAGATGATCTCTAGAGGTCCCTTCCAACCTCAAGCATTCTGTGATTCTGTGATTTATGTGGTGCTGTGTTGGCTGCAGCCAAAAGGTAGTGTTTTAAATTGTGTTTTTGTGTCTAAATCTGTGAGGTGTTAATATTTCCAGCTCCTCCATGTTTTAGTCCGTTGGCCAAAAAAACATTGGAACGCTGCAGTGTTTGCAGTTGTTGTTTTGTGGGCACTTTCTCCAGATGTGCTAGTTCTCTGCCTGGGGGTTTGGGTATCTGTGTTGATGCAGCCACCCTGACTCAGTTCTTTTTTTTTCTCCAATTAGGATCATTGTATTAGTTTAGTTCTACTGCTTTAATTGAAAAAGAAAGGCTTTGATCCAGCAAATCACTTAAAACAAGAGGATAATTCATGTATATAAGTAGTAATTTCATTAGAGTGACTAGCCATATGCTTACAGTTAGACATTTGCTCAAGTGCATGCACAGATCAGGGAGGTCTAATTGCAAAATGTTGTATTAGTTTTCCAAACAATTCCAAGGAACAGCAATGAGAATGCACAGCACAGGATATTCACATAACCCAACTTCCATTTTGCTGCATTTTCTTGTATGAAATCTTATTTTAACCTAGCTACTGGGCTGATTCTCAAGCCTAGTTATCTCCCTTTCGGACTGCTTCAGTGACTGCACC